TTTCGCAAAGTATAAATGAAAATCCAAAAGACGAAAATTGAAATTTCGAAAAATCACACGAGAGATGAGATATTCTGAAAAGATCACGACATGGAGAGGTCGAATACCCATCGCTAGTAATCAGAGGATAAGGTCGATGGTTCCACAACGGTTGAATACTTGAATATTGATTAAGCATGCACATCGCGATTACTGGAAGCAGTAAAAGCGCTGGACTGCGTGTCTGCAGATATTTATAAGGAATGTTGGTTTATCCCTGTCTCTTTTTTCACAACCAGGAAGAATGTCAAGTCGAAGATGTACAACTAGATCGGGCTCAAACTTTCGAGGATTTAACCTTAGGCTTATTGTTCTGTCGTGATCTGGCCTACTTTCCGGCCTCTTTCAAACGATGAATTTAATATCCTTTGTTGCGTTTCTAGACCTCGCATAGATGACGTACACTCTATTAACCATAATTCTGATCGAGAAACTTGAGAAGACTCAGCCTTTCCCAAGTTGCCCCAAGTTGTAGATGACAATTGGTACTAGAAGTTTATACTTTGGTTTAATCTGAAATTAGTTAGAATAATCTGAAATAGAAAACTGGTTTGAGGACAACAATTGTAAACTGTTGCTTCTTCTGATACTTTTTCTTTTCATTTCTCTTATCTTTATCCCCTTTAATTTTATTTTATTTTATTTTTTTTTTTTTTTTTACTTATCAAATGAATACTATTTGATAATATTTAAATAAAAATTTAATTACACAAATGGATAATAAAATGATCCATTTTATACAAAAACGTTTTTATAACTTGGTAAAAAATGGTAAAAATGGTAAAAAATGGCCTATCGTAAAAATGATCGGCAACTTTATGATTTAATCCAGAATCACTAATTTTTATAACAGACTTGGTGACACGCCATGCTTACAAAAAATTCGCGTTCCAGCATCACGTGACCGACTTCCGTGACCGTTGACATAATCATCCGCCTCTCAACGGCGAAAAAAGCGCGGTAAAACAGAGCGGAAGGGGAAAAGCCCTCGAGTTTTGAATATTCAATAGGTATATTCTAGTAGACTTCCACCTGACCCTTTTTTTTCGTGGGAAAAATCGACACGTCTTTCAAACGATGGCTTGTCTTTCGCGTTGTTTCATATCTCGGATTTTTCGACAAACCAGCGATATTGCTCATAATTAGTTATTGATCAAATGAAAACAGAGATATCGAAGATGAATCTGATACGTGGTTAGAAATCTCGTCGATTTAACGCATCGATAAAACAGTTTTATAGTCCACCAACGAAACGAGTTAAATTATTTATCGATAGAGCAGATCAGTCGATAATTATGTCTTCGAAGGTAAGTTAAACAGTCGGTAAAAACGTAGAAAGTAGATACCTATATTTTTCCTAAGTGATAAGTAATGTGTTTTAACAATGCAATTTAGCAATCGATCTGCTAAATTTGAAATAACAATCGACTGTTATAAGTTGGGAATGTTTGTCGCGAGTTAATAATTAAAAATATTTTATTATTTTACGAAAAATAAAGTTGTCAATAATAGAAAAAAATAACTTACCAGGATAGCTGCAGTCATGTTCGTCACTCCCATCGTCACATTCTTTTATGAAATTACATCGATGCGATTCGAGTATACATCTAGATACGTCGCAGGCGAATTCTCCAGGACTGCATCCTATAAAATCAATCAATTCATAACTTTCTAGTCGCCAAAATTATTATTAATTTTTTTTGAAAACAAAGAATACGAAGAAAAAAAAGTATTTAACATGTAATAAAAGTTCAATTTTATATACAATTCTATGTACAAAAATGCAATTGTGAGCAAGCATCATGAGCGTCAGATAACCTATACCTGGATGGGGACAACCAACTTCATCATCGCCATCATCGCAGTCCTTGACGCCGTCACATTTCTGTACAGAGCATATGTAACGACTTTCATCGCTGCAACGAACAGTGTCATCGGCGCGACATTTGCTTAATTTTACTTCTTTAACATCTTCCTCTTTTTTAATTTCCTTAGTTATTTCCTCATAAAATTTTGTGGTATCCTCGCTGACATCTATTGTTTCGATGATTAGGACAGTTGGAAGTAGCGTAGTAATATCGAAGCGGAGATTAGCAGGATGAATATAAATTATAAACATAAAGAGAGAAAATAAATATATATGAAAAGAATATCATATGTAATAATGGAGTTTATGTGATAAAATTAAAATTGAAAAATTAAAATTATAAAATTAAAATACGTAATCATTCTATCCTCTTGATAAAAGATTGATAAAAAAAAAAAAGAAGAAAAACATGCAATAAAGTTAATTACAAATGAATATGTAATAATATAAGTGATCAATATGACGTTAATATTTTTATTACATTATTAGAAATATACAATTGTGTATATATTTACAAATGTCAGATGATGAGAATTTTTAACTATTATTACTTACGTGTCGTCGTTTCAGGGCAACCTTCTTCGTCAGAACCATCCTTACAGTTAGAAATCCCATCGCATCGCCATTCGACCGGCACGCATGTACCATCTTTACACTTTATCTCGGTCGATTGGTCGCATTCCGGTTCCTCTATCTCTTCTCCAGCTAATCGTGTGTGTTTCGTATGTGTATGGGTGTATATATGGGATCATCGGATGGATAAAATAATGCAACAAAAAAAAAATGTCAAAAAAGAAAAGAAAATTCGAACATGATGGAGGAAAACAAAATCTGATCGTAAACACTATCAAAGCGAGAAGTAGTACTTTACATGCAGATCAAGAGTGTGAAAAAAGAACTGATCGATTCTTCCAAATAATCGTATACTTCCAAATAATCATCCATCTTATTTTAAGAAGATTCTTTCGTTCCAGATAATCGATTTACAGATGATATAAAAGGAATTCGAAGTCTTCGAGGAGGAATCGATCATTTCCACGTCACTCGAATAATTTCAACTTGCCTTGGAATACTCTAAACGAGAATTCTTCTGGTCGAACTTGGACGTTGCCCAACGAATGTAAGTGCAGCTGTTGCTCTATGACGTTCCGCACTTCCATCTCATCCGTGAACGTCGAACCGATGTCTAGGGTAACTTGTGATGTGAAGCTGTCGGACGTTGGCCTGAACAGTAAAGAGAAATCGTTATCGTTCCATAAATACCTGCTGGTTGAATCATTTCAATTCGACATGTCAAGATATATTCTCCGTTTTCAAGGAAGATTGATTATTTTTTTTTTTTTTGGAACACTATCTTCTAAATATATACAATCATATTATACTCACGAAATTTTAATAACGTTGGCATGATGATTTTCATTAGGAATATAACGGTTCAACAACTCTTCCAAAGGTTGAGTTAGATTGCCACTTAGCTCTTTGTATTCTCTGCTATTCCTATCCACATATTCTCTTCTGAATGGTTCTCCAACCGTTAATGTTATTCTATAATATTCTGCAAGATCATAGCCAGAGGTTAGTAAAAGTTCCAATTAGATAAATGAAAATGAAATGCTAGTTGTCTACTTCTCTCTTCTTTGATTGGTACGAAGCTATGCAACCGCGTATCAATGTCAGCGCTGCCCTCCATTTCTCCAGATCCAGCAAGATCTTCGTCGTCGGTGTTTCCAAAATTTGCTGATTCTCTTCGACCTTCAGCGGCATTTCCAACTTCATTGTCCTAATAACATCAATGATAGTTGTTAAATATTGGTATTTATTTATCATTGAAATTGAAAATTTAGATTAGATTACTGAAAACTGACCTCATCGGCTTCGACTTCGAATTCATCTGCAGTATCATGGGCTGGTTTTTCCAAATATTCGTCATCGTTGGTTGGAACGAGAGGATCGCTGTCCAACTCATTGTCCGCGTTGTTTTCTCCAGGTTCTGTTAAAATACAGCGATTTCAACAATAATATTAAAATTTATTGTTATAAGGAGTGGCAAAAATTACTTACCTGAAGTTTTAGTAGATGTAGTTGGATTAAAAAAATCTAAAAATCCTCTTCTTAACCTGTGAAGTATGGAGTCTTGTTGGCGTGTCTCGATCAAAGGTATCTCGTCTAAAGATTGCTTGCCATCTTGGTCAAACACTAAGTCGTCATTCTGTAAAAAAAAGGAACTTACATATAATCTCATTCTTCGGAAATTTTCTTAAGCGAACATCCATAGACTCCAATAATTTTTTAATTAATGTAACAAACATCATTCTTTAATCTTAGAGGCGATTTTAAATTATTAGCTTTGTTTGAAAAATTAATACATTAGCAATATACAGGATATCCTAACGAAACTAGATAGAAAATTAAAAAACGGATAAAGAAAAATTGAAATTTATTTAAAAAAAGAAACAGAACTATTCGTCAAAACTAAACTATATATAACTTAATAAACAAATCTTAATCGAATACTTTTGTATATTTTTTTAGCATCATCTTTAGAATCATCTTTACTCTGAACATTCATATATATAAACATATATGAATTACACATCATGAACATCTTTATAAATATTTATAAGATATCTTACTTAAAGTGTCCCATGTCAAAGTACTCTCCAGCTCTTTAAATGTTAAAAGATTGAAAAGAAAACGATATTATGAATAAACATACGAGTTTTAAAGAAAACGTGTTACAAACGAAGATATTTGGTACAGTCAACGTATGTAACGAGTCAAATCTATCGAGTGTATCTCGAATATCGACTATATCTCGAATATCGAAATGTATCGCGTAGTGTGCTCACGTGCGACTCATAAAGAACCAATTCTCACCTAAACACGCGATATAAATTCAGGATCGGCCGCCCATTCCGACCGGCCGTGATTCGGTGGCCAGGATTCGACATCGCGGGTCAACGACGTCTCCTCTTCTCAAGGAACAACACGATATACGTATACAGAGCGAGAAAAAAGAAAGATAGAACATTGGTTGAGATAAAGTATCGTTACGCGAGAAAACGACTGACGAGCTTATGCAACCCGGCACCCGTGTCGATATTACGACTACGAGGCGAATAACAAACTCGATGTTTCCCACGAATCTATACGTGACGAATCAAACGTCTTCCAATGTACGTAAGATTTCTTTTCTTTGATACTTTTGCATTTGGAAAGGTTTCATATTTTGAGTTATATTGAATGCCTTCGAATGTATCAAAATTCTTTAGATATCTATATTTGAAAAAATCCTTTTTTTTGAAATATTAAATACCTTCGAATGTATTAGAATTCCTTTCTTCCTTTCTTTTGCATTTGGAAAAGATTTTTTGAATATTAAATGAATTTCTTTCTTTGGATACTTTTACATTTAAAAAAAGATTTTTCAGAATATTCTTTGTCTGATCTCTTATCTTTCTAAAATGATTTTTGTTGAAAAAAAATTTGCAAACATTTCATTTAATAGTTTTTTTCTTTTTCTCTAAAGTACCTTTATTTTGTATATTTTTTATATTTCAGTTTTGTGGAATATTTGATCGTTGAATTTATAATTTAAAAAATATTGGAAAATGTTAGGATAAAGCTGAAATATCATTTAATTACAAACTCCAAGAATCCATCATTATACATCAATAACAAATAAGAATTTTATCTATTATATTCACCAGAATTACTATAGAGAATCGTACGATTCCTTGCTGTTTCCATGTTTAGAACACGATGACTTGGAATTTATATTTAGGATAAAAACGAGCACTTGTGAGAAAGTAAAAGTTCGAAAAACATCTGGAGACAATTATCAGGACAATTCATGTTAGGAATCTAAAAATTGATCGAAAATAAAATAATTTCATATTTATTTTTAAATTTCTAATTTTATTAATCCCAATCTTAATTGCTTTATACATAAAAAAATATATATAAGATTATGTTTAAACACTCATAATTTTTCAGGCAATAATTTCCAAAAATTAAAATTCATTTCTTAAAAAATTTATTATATTATCAATTCGTTTCAAAGATAATATAGCTTTTTTTTAAATTGTCTCACATTTTATCGATCCCATTAACAAATAACTCGCGCACTAACCTCACTGCCATTCTCTTAACATCATGGCGCGACAACACGTGGCATCCGTTTTGTGGCGCCCAATCAGTGTTGAAAAGCATGATCCAGCAAAAACTGGCCATCTGGCGGATCTTGCTAATCGCGATTAATATCTCGGGTGTCGCGTTTCCTTGCGAACGAGATGATGTTTAACCACGTGACCGGAAGCGCATACGCCACTTCCTGTTCATAAACGATATCAAACTGATTTCTAATCGATTTCTAATGCTTTCATTTAATATGATAATATGAGAAATAATAACGAAACATAAGAAGGAATATTATTCGTAAACATCGAGATCGTCTACGATACATTTATTTTTTAATGTACAAGAGGAAATGAAACTTTGAGGTTCATTTAAGCGAAATTACCTAGATTAAGGATTCCACTTCCGCGTGCAAAACGATATACGCGTGGGTAGGGGCATCGATGTAACGTTACGTAACTGGAAACAAAAAATTTTATGGAGGATAATGACACGAATGACTCTTATTAATTCTTCAGTTAAAATTAGTTTCAAACTTTAGAGCGATTTGTAACTGTTTTTGGCGAATGAACGGTTTATTTTTGTAAATGATTGATGAATAGCTGGTAATATGTAACGAAACGTGAATCGTTTCAATCGATTGCATAAAATTGATAAGAAATCGTAAAAATATATTATTATTATTATTATTAGAAATAGATAAGCTACGAGATATATTATCTACCAATCAGGAACACGTAAGATTTGTCCTAGAGGAAATGAATATTTTTTCGTATTTTTACTTATTTAATTTTTCTTACAAGGGTGATGAAATTTATTTAATGGAATTTATGAGATCGTGAAAACTTAGATAAGACGATATCGTGAAATGTTTATTGATGATTAATGATAATCGAAATCGTATTCTATGTTAACAATTAAGATTTGTTGTTTCCTGTGATCTCGTTGTAATATCAATGGCGAAAGGAAATGTTCTACATGAAGAAAATTAAAAGGCTTACTTGTGATAACTGGAACAATTTTTTCGTGCAGCTTCTTCAACATTCTGCTTGAAAAACTTTAAATAAATGATTACATTCTTTCATTTCAATTTGTCGTGAAATTTTGTTTTGAGGTTATATCATTTGGCCTTTTTTTTTAAAAACAATAAATATCGGTTTATGTACATGTAAATTATAAGAATGAAAAAAACAGGATGGTTGAGTTTATCAAGATTTGTAAAGATAACTCGTAACATATTAAAGATTTTATTGTTAAAAATACTGATGTTAAAAACAAATTTCGTCAATTTTGTTATTTAACTTCTTCCTTTCTCTCTTTTTGAAATATCAATCGAAATGAATATCGATTCATTCTACACATGTAAATAATAAAAGTGGAAAAAGATGAATAAAACTTTGTTAAAATTTGTGAAGATAACTCGTGGCCATATTAAAAACACTACTGATATTAAAGAAACTTTGTCAATTGAGGTTATATATGTTTGGCGCCCTCTTCTTTTCTCTTTTTTCGACCTATGAATATCGATATATGCAAATAGTAAGAAAAATAGTGGAAAAAGATCTCCAAGCTTTGTCAAGACTTGTGAAGATAACTTATTACCATATTAGGAATAGCATTAAAAATTTATATGTAAGAAAAAAAAGTGAACACAGATTAAGATTATCGTACGAATGAAGAAGCTATTTAAGATTTTATGACGTACTTGAATCTCTACGATCAATTATAATTAAATAAATTCAATCATCCAATTAGGACTGATTTCTTTTGTTAAATTACTTAATTGAAAGAAGAAAGAAAGGAAAAAAGAAATGTACCATCTATTTTGAAAAATTTAGTCAAAAAATCGAAGAAAATGAAGTTAGGTCGATTAAGGCTCGTTTCCATGAGCAAAGAGAGCAAAGAATTAGAAAATGGAGAGGGTAGGAGACAAAACTTTGTTATTCCAACCAAGTTTTACACGGGATTCTCGAGCTAAGTCCACTCTATGATCCTTTCACGACAACTACGTGCTCATACTTCGACAAAACACCGGGCCCCTCACACTGTCCGAAATCCTTAAAATGCATGGGAAATACGTGTCGGCGCAGTTTAAGTGGCCAACGGGAAATTCGTCCTCGAAATTTCCACTGTGGCGAATATCGAACTTCGATCAATTTATCGACATCCTTGATCAATTTTCTTGCACCTTATCGTTGTCTTCTGATTAGCTGATCAGTTGTGAACGCTTTTTATTTATCATAATAAATAATAAAGTATACTTATATATTTTATTTGTCTGCTATCTAATAGAATTTAATAATATTAAATTCTATTAGATAGCAGATAAACATTATTCTTTATGATAATAACGATTATGAATATTATTTCTATCTTATTTACTTTATAAAAACAAAAATTTATTTTATTGAATAAAATAAAAATTCAATTCTAATTTCGTATTAAAAAAAAAATACTCTCAATCATCTACATTTTATTCGAAAATATCAATATATAAAGATCAATTATAAATTAAATAACATTACAAGATGAATTTCGAAAAACATTCAAATTTCAAAATCTCGAGAAAAAAGAAAAATGTTAATGCAAAAAGAGGTCGATCGACGAGGTACAGGAAAGAGAAAAGAGGGAGGTAGATACAGATAAACGGGGTCGTTAAACCTGGTGCAAAAATGAGTCCAGACCATGACTCACCGGAGAACTGGTCCCGAAAAAAATAAGTGAGCGCGTCTGCATATCGTTAAGCCAATGCCGTGCAGTTTGCACGCACGTGTTGATTGCATAACGCAAGAACGCTGTCTCTGATTCGATTCACTATTTGAAATTTTTGACTTTGAAATAGTAATATAGATTTTTTGATTTTGATCGCTTCTTCTTTAAATATATATATATATATCGAAACTGAAAAATAATAGATATTGGAAAAATAATTAAGCGATATTTTTAACGTGAGCTTAATTGTGAGGTTAAACGATATTGGACAGTATTTGGCAATTATAAATGATTCGTTCTTTTATGCGAGCCTTACGTCAAATGTAGATGTAATTCTATTATTTCGAATATGGATTCAAAAGTTGAATCTTGAAGTTCTAGGTCTTTTGGTTACTTTTGGATCATTGGATTTTAAATTAAATTTTACTGACTTTTAAAATGTCTTTGATATGTCTTTGATTTTTTCCACAAATCCTTTTAATTCCTAAATTCTTAGATATTTAAATTCGTAAATGATTCTTTGAATTAAAATTTTTAAGATGTCAAATTCAAACTTTGATGCACAACTTTCATTTACATTTATTTACCCTTTTATCTACACTTATTTATTTGATACATTCGTTTTGATACACAAGAGTCTAAACATAGAAGATATATATATATCGCACATCACACGGAAAAATCTTCTCTGATCATCAGGATCACTGTGTCTCTTCCTTCCAATCGCTCTCTTTCAAAGGTCAAGATTCAGCACGTATGGAGGAGAGCAAGAAATCCTCCAATTTAAGGGACTTTCAGGGGCTTCAACTTAACGAAAATATACGCGCTAGCGAGCTAGATGTCGCTGCAGTCAAGTACATCTTTCTCGAAGGGAGAAGGGCTACGAGGCCGATCGTCTTTTGTCTTAAGCCGCTCTATATTAATGTGAAGAACATGCCACGTCGAAGCAGGTTACTGTGAGAGGATGGCCGTGGACGGTTAGGCGTGGAAAAGAGGGCTGTCAGCACACAGAATACTAAACAGCGGCGAACCTGGGGCTGCATAGGTGGCGCTAGTCTCATTCGACCAAGCCTTTGCATTTTAACTGCCTTTCAAGCTCGAGGAAAGACCTCGTGCAGGTTTTTGACAGACATAGTAACTTTGGATAGATACTCTGTACACGTGTTTGTTGCGAAAGAAGCAGAATTATGATTTCTTGAAGGAAGACATATAGTATCAGATGTTAAGGTTAGTAACATTTATAACATAGTTAGCTTTTGAATAATATTTGAATTGAATTTTTGATCCCTTAAATGTGTTGAGTTATCGAAGCTATGGAATGATATAAAGTGATATTTAGAAATTTATATAAAAAATATTTGCATTTTTAAGAGTAGTTGTACTATTACTCATTTAGATTAGATTTTCCAACAATCACTACACACTATAATTGATATAAATATTTTGATACCTTTGAAAGATCAATTCTAGAAGTCTTTACAAATATGAAAATTTCTTTTAAGTTGAATTGACATTAAATTTGCATTAACAAAACGAAATGCAAACTTTAACTAACTGTTATTTTGACTTCTAGATGTTTCCATATTTTATAATGTGGAAACATATATAATATTTACAATAATATAATTAAATACTATTTTTGCGATATCCTCTTAATCTTTCTCTTCAAAGAAAATTCTATTATTGAGAGTAAAAGAATCCTAACCTCAAATTTCTCGTTTGCGATCGAATCAACTTGTGTCACGTGTTGATTCTCAGGCTGTAAACTGAACAAGAGGACGCGATAAGATCGAAAAAAAGAAACTAGAGATCATCTTATATGAACTTTCATATCTCCTGGAACGTGAAAAAGGCTACGGGCAATCCTCTTGGAAGGGTGAAATTGCGGAAATCGCACATTTCGACTTTCCGACAGAAACGTTCAAACCCTCGGGCTACGATCACTCACGCGTCGAAAACGTTCGAAAAACTGAACTATACTATCGTGAAAGAATTAAAGAGAATGAAGAAAAAAAGAGAAAAAAGAAAATAATAGATACACTGTCGATACAGAATTTCAAACGAGCTTACTTCCTTCATTGACTCTTTCCATTCAACATGAAGATCAACGTGAAATTGGAGATAATCGTTGAATTAATTTCACAAAGAAATGCCGATAAAACGATATTCTCTTTAGGTTAGGTTTAACTGAAGTTTTTTCGATAAAGAGAAGTTAATATAATTTGATTATTTTAGATAATTATTTTACAAAAATGTTTTCATATGTATAGAAATAAATTAATGATATTTACTCTATATTTCTAATAGCAATATCATATAAAATAGTGATATTTTAAAAAAATAATTATTTTTTAACAATTTAGGAGCAGAAATATATTGTGAAATTTGATACATCAATGGATTTAACATCTATGTTTTAAAAAAAAAAAGTGTGCTATTGTGAGTATTGTAAGTAAAAATTTAATATTCCTTCACTATCTTTTTGATCTACATCTATCTAAAAAAATTGAAGAAGAAAATATCCAAAAAAAATCATAGCTTTAATGAAAATTCCACAGATATATTATTTAATTAACAATACATTTATGTTCATCAATAATTTAAAAACTCTCTGAAGAAATCACAATATAACAGATTAAAACAAGATCTCTAAAGATCTACAAGAATATAAATATAATTACTTAGGTTATCATTCAAGAGCACTTATTCCTATCAACAATTTGAAGATTTTTTGAATAAATTATTATATCACCGAAAAAGAAACTTGTTACAGAGATCTCTATTCAAAAAAATAATCATATTTTTAATGACAAATACTAATATGGCTACTTAGGCTACTTAAGAGCTCACTTATCCTCATCAACAACTGAAAATACTCTTTACAAGGAAATTACAAAGATAAAAAAAAACTGGATTCAAAGATGGAACAATATGTTTAAAAGTCTATCCAAAAAAATAATTACATCTTGAATGACAAAAAGTTACTAATAAAACTACTTAAGTTATTACTGAAGAGCTCACTTATCTTCATCAACAGCCTTTTGAGAAGGTTATAATGTCCTGACACAAAGGCAGAACTTGATTCAGAGAGATCGAACAGGGTCTCTAAAGTGCTACACAGGTTTGTTTTTACAACAAACAAGGGAGATAGTGTGCACGCCTTCTAAACACGCCGCTTAACCACAGCTTTATCCTTCTCCTCGCCCCTGGATCTCGGCCACGACTCTCTCCCTCTCTTATTTTCACCCGGTATTCGCCCTTTGGATGTAATCTGAGGCGGTTCGACAAATTACGAGGCTCACTTAACGGCTCGTGTTTCCTGTCATCGCATTCTGAATCCAGATTCCTTCGTCTTTTACAATATCCTCGCTAATCCTTGGTTCACTATTACAAGACTGTTACGTTCAACAGGCTCGTTATTCATTGCCAATAATGTATTCCAACTGAGTTTGTATAGAATGAACAGTGTAACATGATCACTTTCGTAATGTATGAATCAAAATATCTTTCTTTTTTTTAGGTAATGATAGGTAATGATCAAGATAATGATACTTTTTTTTTTATATATATTATTGATCAAATGTATAAATAAATTACTAATGTATTCTATAATATCTAAAAAATTTTAAAAGTTAAGTTACCACAGAAAATTTTATGAAACGTTAATTAAAACGTAAAATAATTATTATTTTTAATCAGTATAAAATATCAATGAAAAAATCGATAATCAAAATATTATTCGAGGAATTTTAATTTCTCACGCATATCTTTTCTTTTTTTTATTTTCAATATCTTCAATTATGACTATTATAAAATCATTTAATAACAATAAATCGTAAATCGACATGATGTTGAATAGAAAGTTTCGTATTGACCTTCGAGAAATATGTTAATACCTTTTTTTCTCTTTCAGAAGACACAATAATTTTCAAATCTTAAATCGGAATTAATATCAGAGGAAGGCATTGAAGAACGACATCGGATGAGGCAACGATGAGTAAATACTAACGAATTCGGTTGGATGGCTCATTAATTTTCGATGAGAGTAGAGGAATCACATACGTGACATGCATGAACACATTTTTCACGCTTTTCTCCAAACACCAAGCGGTATTTTAATTCTCAATATTTTTTTGGCACGATTCTCTTTTATAACAATCAAATGAATTACCACTTTCCTTCTTTTCATATTTAATTCATCGTATAAATCTCTTTTTTAAAAAGGAGATACTTTAAATAGATAAATGTATTATTTTTATACACACAAAGATCTGATAAGAATATGAATAGAATATTAAATAAATATAAATATAAAATATAATACATTAATATTCAGAGTCTATACTATGACGAATATAAAATATTTATTATTTGCAAATATAAATGGTGAATTTTTAATATTTTTTTCGATATCCGCTAGTATATTAGCGGAATAAATGAGATAAAATAAAATTCATCATAAAATTTCTATATTATTCTATAAACTTCTTCTATAAATTTTCCATAAATAAGTCCAAATGAAACTAATTATATCCAAAAAACATTATTCTAGTTAGTTCGATCAATTGATAATCGATCTTCCGTGAATCTCATCAAAATTATCAAGAATTCTTGTCACCTAACCAATCGAAATAGAATCTAAAAATAGCAGATAACTCCTAGTGAATTTAAATTAGGAGTAGAGATATCATTTTTTCCTGTTTTCGCAGGTGTTCGAAAAGGTGTTTTCTTTGAAAAATTGAAAGAGGCAAACCTTGTCCGCTGGAGGCTCTAATAATAAATCTAAGTATCTCCAAGAGAGTTAAATCTTTCGGTTCAATCCTCTGGGTTGATGTGTTAAATGGCGAAAATATTGGTTGATGTGTTAAAAAGGATTACCTGTATCGACCATCGAGAAGAAAAACATGAAGGTTACACGCCAAGAGATCATCCTGATGCGATTTACATGAAACGTTATTGATGTTATCTATAAGTAGTAGTTTCGAACGTCCATTAACTTCAGATGGTGTTTAGAAAAGGTTAAAAATATTCACTGAATAAAAATAGAATACACGTATAAATAGCAGTTTGATTGCAGTTCACATGTGATTGCTTGAACAAATCATTAAATCATCATCTATAGAAATGAAATTGATTAATCAATTAAAAAATTTGAAACTTTCTGAATAATTATTTAATTGATTTTAAAAATTGTAAGTTTATTTCTGAAGAGTTGATTTATTAATTTTTCTATATTATTTTTTTTATATTAATTTATATTAATCAAAATATAAAAATTAAAATTTTTTTCCTGTTACAATAAATACAATAATATACAAATATTATTAGAACTATGATCTAAATTTTTCTTATTAAAGAAACTCGCGTTCTAAATCGTTCTTCACAATGCAATTCATAATTTCATTTTTTTTTCAGCGATAAATGATGGAAGATCGGTTATGGCCTGATTTGGCGGAAAGGGAGGTGTATTTGTTCTGCGAGAGCAAACAATCCGTCTAGAGACCCATTTCCGTCTGATCGAAAATAGTCGCACGGAGAAAGGGTTGCGATGGAAAACCGCAACAATCGATTTTTTAGATTTACAAGAATAACGAGAGAATATTACGAAAATAAGACACAATTAGCAAAAATTCTAATTTAAGAGGGACAGGATGTAATGAAATGATAGGAAGACTAAAAAAACCACAAACATCTAAAAAGAAAAGTAAAATAATGATGAGGATAATCCACATCCTGTTGATATCAAATTTTACTATTGTTTCGGTTCAGAGTAACCGTTGGCCAAATTAGGACAATCCTGGATATCAAATATTTGTGGCTAAAAGCCGAAAATATTCCGTCCTAAATATTCACAATTGAGGAATCACGTTATCAAAACCCGAAAAAAATTAGTTTTTCCTTTTGAAACACGTGGTTAATAAGCCGACCAACCGTCCATGAAGCATATTCTTGGTGAAGTTGAATTCCATTTGCCGGAAGTCTGTCGGTTCCGCCACTCTTTTCATATAAAATCAGGCTTTTATTCCATCGAAAGCTGGAGAAAACGAAGAAAAAAGAAAAAAAGGGAGGAGGAAGGGAAAGAGAGAAACGAGGCTGAACTTTCGTTGAAATCCGATAGCAACGTCAAAGACAATGTTTTTCATTCTTGAAACACGCACAATTACATCAGAAATATAATTATAATCGATTGCGCAATCCGATCATCCTCGAGTCGAATGCCAGTGCACGCATGACTCGAATCGTTTATTTTCGAGCTTCGTTGCGTTTTGATAAGAAAAATGTACAATGATGTTGTTTTGAAAATCTCGTTCCTTCTTAGTAGAACTCGAGGTTTTCAGTTTTATGTGATTTTTTGTTTGTTAGAATGTAAGATTGATTTGTAATAATCAAAGCAATAATCAAAAAAATTTTTTTATTTATAGGATTTTTATAATAGAAAGAAAATTTTTCCTGAATTTTTAAATGAAAAGAAATTTATCAATTATATCGAAAGAAGGAGTATCAAGAGTTCAAGTTTTATTCATTGATGTTTCTGCATATATTTGTTTATTAAATGATCCTAATTCTGGTCAAAGGTCAAAAAAAATTTGAAATATTTATTACACTTTGGTTAGATTTGTTAAAATGATAAAAAATAATAAAACTGAAATGACTCTCTTATCACTTCTCTCATCAACTATATCGAATAAGATATATAAACATTTCATTGAAAACAAAAAAATAAATATCTCTAAATTCGTATTCAAAAAATTTCAAGGTATACATATTCGAACTTATAATAATGTTTCTATAATTTTGTTTACTGATTAATCAAACATGAAAATTCGATCTATAAATATAAATATTTATTATCGATTTATTAATTATGATTAGATTTTTTTTAATCACTTTTTAAGAATAAAATCAATTTTCATCAACCACATCAAACAAGAGAGCACCTAATTAAAAACAATAAAAGAACAAATATCACCAACCTTATTTCCTATTTCCAATCCTATTCATTCATCTGTTCAGAGAAATTTATCTTGAGTCAAAATTTAAATATTAACACGATATTTGATCGACTTCTTAAAGGGTAAATCAGTTTTTGAAATTGTATATCGTAATCAGCCTAAAAAAGAGTCTTCAACACTTCCAGTTCACGCCTATACGCCATCCTTGGCCTGGCATGACGTAAACCATACTTCAGGTTCGTTCAGCTGCGGAAAATAATTTTCGGATCATGTTTCCAAAACTATTTGGGGATTGAAGAAGCCTCTGTTGCGCTTTTATTTGATCTAAAATATAATAATGTTGATACATAACGCGAAATATTTTTGGAAGATTCTACGAAAACAAAAATGGTGTACAAAAATATCGATCAAGTCTTTATCGAGCTATATCGAGTGATCGAAGTTCACATTGAAGGAAACGAGACGGAGATAGGGATAAGCGAGCGATGTGACAGAGACGAAGCGATCTCACTTCGATTACCATGAATTTCAATCGTAACTAACAAATAGGACTCGATCGATATTTTTCTATATCGACTTTTCTTTTCTTCTCGATAGAATCGATCGTTAACAAGATGGCAACATATACATACCGAGAGTCTTATTTTATCGAGTGATTAAGAAGAAAATTCACAAGTCAAATGGATCTTGAGAAGAGAGAAAATGTAAAGAATTGAGTTATCTTGGTCTCGGATAGTGACGGCCGATTTATCGAAGAAGAAACGATTGACATTCAATATATTCGGTATCTCGAACGAGCAACGTGTATTTCTGGATAATGACTCACAGCCCGTTTCTCCGCCACGTGCTTTCTCCGTCCCATCGAGTCACGAATAAAAAGGAAACTGTTCTGCTCTTACTTGTCCCTGTTGTGTATACACACAGTGTGCCAAAAGTGAAGTCACCGCTTTATTGGATAACCGATTACCGCGTAAGTTTGAATCACCAAGATAAAAAGGTTATTCTCATCGTTTATTTCACTTTTATCGATCTTGCATCTATTTCCGATCGCTGGAATTATCGATGTGTCATCCGGTTGCTCGAAGTCGGGAGAAATTACATTTTTTTTTCACAAAGTATTTCACGTAACTCGAAAGTATATGAGTTAGAGATGAAAATGTAAATTAAGAATGCTATTGGAAACTGAATTATGAAAGATCGATTGAGAGAATCTAGATGTAAATTATTTTTTATTATTTTTTGTTATTGAATAATGATGTTACTTAAAATTTTATATTACAAATCCGATTCAAAGTTAATAATTTTCACAAGTTTTTTGAAATCATGTCTTTCATTTTTTTATGCTCCAAGTTGAAATATTTTGAAATAAAAACTCAGTTTAATAACTGGTATACTCGATCATAACGTTGAAATGAAAATGAAAAAAATGAAATTCTTTTCTAACTTCTTAAAATTAGTAAAAATAGAATCTGGCCTATACTTTATTTTTGTTCTTAATTAAAATGTCAAACGAAACCATGTTAATCGATCTTTATTTATTTCTTCGCAATGACACATGCATTGTCATATTTTTATAGTAAATATAAAAAATGAACACGAATCCTCGAATAATTCTATTCAGTTCCTACTAGTATTAATATATCCATGAAATATTTTTAATAGATCTAGAAATCAAAATGAATTTAATAAAATTGATACACAAAAATATAAATAGGTTAATTACTTTAATTAAATACAACAAAGATAGAACTCTATTTCGTTTCATCTAATTCAAACTATTTATAATTTAATCAAAGACATACACACACACACATATATATGTTAGTTTTTTTCTTTTTTAATTATCTCAAATAAAAATAATAATAAAAAGAAAAAAACAATTTCTTCTGAAGAGATTAATGAACAAGTCTTAACTAATTTTTTTTATGTTCACTTCTACAATCGACTCTCCAAAGGTCGAGTGTATATAAATATCCATGTATATATATATATATATATACGATCAATATATCAAGTGTACGATTGTCACGAAAGAGAGATCTAAATCGATCTTCTCGCGATTCAAAAATTACAGATATGGCAAAAGAAAAAAAAAAATAAACACGGGAGAGAAGGAGAGTGAAATTTGAACAAGGAGAGGAGATCGAAATCGAAGAGACTCGTTATTGGGGAAAAGGCAGTGGTTTGTCGTCGAGCCGGATGCCGAGGTATAGAGGCGAGGATTTGTCGGTCGGATGTTAGACAATGGACTATTAGGGCAGTTTCGCGGTATAAGCTGCTGTGCAGCCTCTCTTGGTTGCGCGGGTGAGCCACAGCTGGACCTGGAGAAAAGAGGGTTGTCGAGAGTGCTTCGCGACACATTCTACCCCCTCCATCCTTTTTTCTACCTATTTGCACCGTAGCTGCTTGGCTTTGTAAAGTCCCACGAATCTCTCTCTCTCTC